GCTTGGGAACCCTGCAGCCCAGTGGTCTCAATGTGTTTCGCTTGGGACCCCTGCAGCCCAATGGTCTCAATGTGGACTTCACAAGCCTCAAAAATCAAGCTTCAAAATTTCCCCACTCCCGACCTCATCCCAAAACCAGCCCAGCTCATCCCTGCCTCCTTGACCTGTCCGTCTTACCTCCCACCTATCCACTCCTCCCACCTCACTGACCAACCCCCCACCTCCTTCCTACCAGCCTCATCCCTCCCTCCTTGATCTGTCCATCTTCCCTTGACTGACCAACCCCCACCCTAACTCCCCACCTGCACTCACCTTTACTGGCTCCATTCCCACCTCCTTGACCTGTCCATCTCCTCTCCACCTATCTGCTCTTTTATCCACCTTCCATCCGCCTCCCCCTCTCCCTATTTATTTCAGAGTCCCCTTCCCCTCTCCCATTTCTGAAGAAGAGTCCAGACCCGAAACGTCAGCTTTCCTGCTCCTCTGGTGCTACCTGGCCTGCTGTGTTCCTCCAGCTCCACACCTTGTTATCTGTGATGAATAAATCCTTTTTTTTTGGTGTACACAGCTTCTGCCGGCATTCTATTAAAACTGTCAACCGTAAGGAATCACTCACTAGAGAGATTGCCCACCTCGGAAGTTCTGGGTCACTGGCCACGGCTTCTGTGAGTCCTTTTGTAGCCAGAGAACCTGACCTGAGAGCCACATCTCTGACACCACACATTTCCCAGGCGTTTCCAGGAGGTGAAACTGCTCCTTGGGTCTCGAGATGGTTGGCATTCCTTTCTCCAGTTCCTTTCCTGCCTTTCCTCTTGCCAATGGGTCCTGTCAAAGAACTGTGCCTCTTCGCGCAGGAGCTTCCTCCAATTCAGTTCCTTCGGATTGAGGGTCTCCCACACATTCACACCCAAGTTGCATTTCTTGAGGGGAAGCCTTCGGGGAGTCTTTGAAATGCTTCCTTAGACCTCCTTTCGTTCGAGTGCCTTCCCAAAGATGACTTGCTTTGACGGTCAGAATTTAGGCGTTCTAGATACGTGGCTAGCCCGGTGGAGTTTGAATGTGAAAATGGTAATATTCAAGAGATGGACCGTTTCCAAGGACAGTCTATTTAACTGCTCCAAAGTATTAGTTGCATCCAGTGCTGCCTAGAAACATAAGCAGGACTTTATTCCAAGCTCTTCAATTAGTCTCTTGACATATCCATCTATACTAAACCCCGGTTCGGCCACGTCTGGAGTATTGTGTCCAGTTCTGGTCGCCTCATTACAGGAAAGATGTAGAAGCATTGGAAAAGGTGCAGAGGAGATTTACCAGGATGTTGCCTGGAATGGAGGGAAGGTCTTACGAGGAAAGGTTGAGAGAGCTAGGGCTTTTCTCTTTAGAACGACGAAGGATGAGGTGACTTGATAGAGGTGTACAAAATGATCAGAGGTATAGATAGAGTGGACAGCCAGAGTTTTTTTCCTAGGGTGGAGGTAACTATTATGAGGGGGCATAGTTTTAAAGTGAGTGGAGGTAGATATAGGGGAGACGTCAGAGGTAGGTTCTTTACTCAGAGAGTGGTAGCGGCGTGGAATGCATTGCCGGAGAGGGTAGTGGAGTCAGCCTCATTAGGGGCATTTAAGCGGCTATTAGATAGGCATATGGATGATAGTATAAGGTAGCGGTGGAGGTTAGATAGACGTTAGGTTTAGGGTAAAAGTTCGGCACAACATTGTGGGCCGAAGGGCCTGTACTGTGCTGTACTGTTCTATGTTCTATACATTGTTGGTGAGAGGTAGCTCCAAAATCACAATGAATGTAAGAACTGGCTCAGTCCCTGCCTCTCCACATTGGCCTGAACTGTGTGAAATTGACATGAGAGTAGTATAGTAGATATGTTGGTGAATAGCTTTCTCACTTAACTTTATAAACTCATGCAATGTTAGCGACGTGAGGCCTCATTAATCATAGAACAATCACAGATAACGGTAGAGTTTATTAGACAGGCTAGTGAGCATATGCTATCTATTGTAACACAGGGACTTCAAATCGGATTGAGTAGAACGTTTACTGAAGCACTCGGAGCATAATCGCAGGCAGAGGGACCATTTTAAACGAAGCCGGCTATATAATTAACTAAAAGCTGCAAAAGTGGCACAGCAAATATGTGTGGTTTATCCTGAGGGAATTGAATACAAGAGTAGGATGTTAATGTATTGGAAGCAATGCAGAGAAGATTTACTAGACTGGAATGAGTCTGTAGCCTTATGAGGAGAGGTTAGACCTGTATCCTTTGGAGTTTTAGAAGGCTCAGAGTTGAAGCAGTTGAAACATAAAAAGGGTTTTGACTGGATGAATGATGAAGGAATGTTGCCTCTTGCGGAAGAATCTGGAACTAGGTGTCACTGTTAAAAATAAGGGGCACCCATTTAGGAAAGAGAGGAGGCAACATCTTTTTTCTCTCAGAGGATTTACAGTCGTTGGCATTCCCTTCCTCAAAATACAGTGGATGCAGAATCTTCAATTATATGTATGACGTCGGCATAGACAGATTCTTGGCAGCCGAGAGGATATGTTCCAAAACAGGGATAGCAAGCCAAATTAAATCAGTGTCGTCATATCTGGAATCACGACAAAATGAAATTAAAACGTTCAAAGTTGCTGAATTGATCCTGACCAGTCCTTAGAAATAACAGATCTTGGACACTGAGTTTACAACCAATTTAATATAACCAATAAATTACCATAAATTTAGTGTGAATAATTTAACTGTAGCAGAACACAGATAAACAAAAAGGCAATCTAATTAATATCTACAATGTAAATCCAGCCTCTTTGATCCTAAACCCCCACTCACACACACACTGACGGACAAACAGACACATTTCCAGGACAAATTGAAAAAGGAAAATTAAAGAATCGTAATTTGCCAGTTTCGATAACCATTTCGGGTCTTTATGACATACTTGGACGATGGGTTGTATACCATGCATGTAGGACTGCAAAACTTTCTTGAATTCCAACGTCACCGATCAGTGCAAACAGCTTCTGCAGATCTCTGGAGACTTTTTCAGGTTTCTCACAGACCGATTTTCTGGCCAATCCTTCCCTCAAAGTTTTGAACAAGTTGATAACTGGAGTATAACTAGAGATAACCCAGTCCAGAGCTTCCAAAACAGAAACTACCTCCTGCAGTCTAAATCAGTTCACTCTTTTTTTGACCTGTGATTGATTGATTCAAAACCCAAACATTTTCCCTCAGCATAGCAACATCTCAGAGCCAAATTGTCTACAGCGTGCTTAGATCCGTAAGTAACCTGCATTATCTTTCCAGGCCAGTTCCCAAAGGGGAAATGTTTGTCTTTTGCTCTCGCCATTTTTTGTTATTGAAAAACGCTGCTGTTCAAAGCTGAAGGTTCAATTCTCAGCTTTGACTCACAGTTTGAAAGCAAGAATGAGAAAAGTAAAAGCAAAATGGTGACGGGCTCAACAAACGAAAGATTATCAGGGGATAGGCAGTAATGGAGAGTTGAGGTTAAAATCAGGCCAGTCATGGCCTTATTGAATAGCAGAACGGGCTCAAAGGGCCGAATGGCCTATTCTTGTTCCCCGTTCATACGTTGCTCCAGAGGGTCTCCCTGGAATGAAGGAGCAGAGTGGCATGGCCTTGATATTGACCATCTGAGGTCAGACTGGGAAGATAACACTCACTTAGACGGAGTTGGGATGGACGCTGATGGCATACGAAAGTGGAGCGTGAACATGCAGAGCTGAACTTTGGCCACGACAGCCATACGATTAATTTTCTAGCGTTTATGAAATGAACGTATCTATTCCCAGCATCAATCCAGGTCTGGACTCCACCAGCGATTTCAGGTCCTTCCGTCCCCATGCGCTGAACTGATTTCCCCAGAGCCTGGAAAACAGCGAATGAGCAGACCGCACAGCAGTTTGAGTAAGACAGAAACCGAGTCAATGTTTCAAAGGTGTTGCAAACGTTCACCCATAAAAACAAAAGGCACTTTGAGCATTAACACACACGCACTCACCTGACATGCACCAGACTCCTGCAGGTCAGTATGAGATGGCGGAAAGCAGGGACAGATTGGTCTGTGAAGAAGTTCGATTCTAGGGACAGAGCAATCAGGGACTGGTTTGTACTGAGTGCAGAGGTGAGATCTTTAGCACAAGCGTCCGTGAGACAGTTTTCATCCAAGCTTGGATCCAAGGAAAAGAAATAACGAGAATCAGTATGCCATCCACTACATTAAAAGTTCATTCACTTCACAAATGATGCACATTGACTGGGACCATTTACAAGTTGTATTGAACATTTCCACCATTACCATTGACCATTCGCAAGGAACAAGTCAGGAATGTGATGGGATACTCCCCACTTGCCCCTGGATGGGGGCAGCCCCAACAACACCCAAGAAGCTCGACACCATCCAGGACAAAGCAGCCCCCCGCTCTATTGGAACCACATCCACAAACATCCCACTCCCCCGGCCCACCACCAACGCTCAGTCGCAGCAGTGTGTACCATCTACAAGATGCACTGCAGAAATTCACCAAAGATCCTCAGGCAGCACCTTCCAAACCCACAACACACTTCCATCCAGAAGGACAAGGGGCAGCAGATACATGGGACCCCCACCCCCTGCAAGTTCCCCTCCGAGCCACTCCCCATCCTGACTTGGAAATATGTCGTTGCTCTTTCATAGTTGGGTCAAAATCTTGAAATTCCCTTCTTGATGGCATTGTCAACCCACAGCACATGGACTGCAGTGGTTCAAGAAAACAGCTCACCCCCACCTTCTCAAGGGGGGCAACTAGGGACGGGGTAATAAATGCTGGGTCCAGACAGCAACACCCATATCCCACAAGCGAATAAAAATAATTCCTACCAAGTATACTTCAACAGTTAACTTAAAAACATTCCTCAAACTCCATCTGCTAGATTGAGCAACGACAGCAGTTTCAAATAAACATCACCAACGATAAGGAAATAGCCTTTGAGCGCTCCGTGCTGTATGAAAGGGTTTATTTTCCTGAACTTTGTGCAGAGAATGGAGAATACTGCTGAACCTCAGAAAGCGCCCAAATCCAGATAGCGCCTTTCAAAGTCCATCCTGGCTGACTTAACAGCTTATTTCACAACATTATTATACAGCCTCGTTTACTGTTCTGCACCATTCCTGGCTCTGCTTTGAATGCACAGTTCCTGTCTAGAGATCCCCTTTCAGGTCTGAATCCACACATTTCACTTCAGCCAGGATGCTCTCTGCGATTAATACCTCCTGCACCATCCACTAGCCACCAAATAGTTTCTTAAAGTGTTCTGAACCTCGGTGCACGATGCCTTTTGAGCTGATTGTGACATCCTGGGGGTAGGATAGAGGTCATAGGTTTAAGGTGAGAGGGGAAAGATTTAAAAGGGACCTCAGGGGCAACTTTATCAAGCAGAAGGTGGTGAGTGAATGGAACGAGCTGCCAGAGGAAGTGGTGGAGGCTGGTACAGTTACAGCATTTAAAAGGCATCTGGATGGGGACATGAATAGGAAGGGTTTAGAGGGATATAGGCCAAATGCTGGCAAATGGGACTGGATTAATTTAGGATATCAGGTCGGCACGGACAAGCTTGATCAAGGGGTTTGTTTCCTTGCTGTACATCTTGATGACTCCATCTGAAAATTGCTTTGTATTAGGATGAAAGAGCTTTCCTATCTGCATACATTTGTATCCTCCCATGGACCACTGTCTTGATTCGAATGCTGAAACTGTCCCCATGTGCAGATTTTTGACCTGGGCATTGGGGCTTGGAAATAATCCATCCCGGCAGGAATGCTCATTCTGCATGAGACAAACAATATTGATTATTTCTTTTTTTTCATTCTGATCGCGAACCCAGCCACTTGCTTCTTGCGGAAGCACAGGAGAGGCCTTTCAGCCCACAAAGGGTGTGCCGCCAAATGTGGACTATGTCTGACTCCAATTCCACTTGCCAGCACCAGACCCATTTTCTCAGATGTTATGACACTTCGAGCGCTCCTCTAAGTTGTGAGGTTTCCCAGATCAACCACCTTCCCTCACAGAGCACTCCACTGCCCTCTGCCTGAAAATATTCTCCCTCAAATCCTCTCAAAACGTCCTGCGTTTCAGTTTGAAGTTATGCCCCCTCGGTATTGACTCTTCAACAAAGGTATCCACGCCCTTCATAATCTTATACACCTCAGTCAGGTCCCATTCCCGCACCCCCTCCCCCAAACTTCTCCACTCTGAAGAAAGCAACCCAGGTTTGTCTACTAGACTCTCTTCGTAGCTGAGAGATTTCATCTGATCCCAATACTCTGCTGCGAGATTTGTTGGGTTAAGCACCATTGGGATTTACCTATTCTAGTCTTGCCCTGCTCTGAAAAGAGCAGCGTTAACCCTTTGGGCATTCAGATTGTAGCTGGTCGACACCACTAAGGCAGGCCTTCAGTCAAGTGGCTAACATGACATGTTGGCTTGCTGCGGTAGTGAATGGCATCCTGTAGGTTCCAGTTCTCGGACTCCCACAGCCTGAAAGGACTTCTCTTCACATATGCGATAACCCTGTCTGAAGGCGGGATCAGCTTTCGTAGGCTAATCCCAGCAAGATGGATTACTTTTGTCTCTGAGGGAATTCATTTAAAGCAGAGTCACCATAAGTCATAGGAGCAGAAGTTAGGCCGTTCGGCCCATCTGCTCCACCATTCAATCATGGCTGGTAAGTTCCTCAACCCCATTCTCCTGCTTTCTCCCCGTAACCCTTGACAGTCAAGAACCTATCTATCTCAGTCTTAAATAGACTCAATGTCCTGGCCTCTACAGCCTTCTGTGGCAGTGAATTCCATAGATTCACCGCTCTCTGGCTGAAGAAGTTTCTCCTTATCTCCGTTCTAAAAGGTCTTCACTTTACTCTAAGGCTGTGCCCTCTGGTCCTAGTCTCTCCGACCAATGGAAACTTCTTCCCAACATCCACTTTGTCCAGGCCATTCAGTATTCTGTAAGTTTCAACTTAGATCCCCACTCATCCTTCTAAACTCCATCGAGTATAGACCCAGAGCCCTCAAACGTTCCTCATACGTTAAGCTTCTCATTTCCTGGGACCATTCTCGTGAACCTCCTCTGAACCCGCTCCGAGGCCAGTGCATCTTTCCTGAGATATGGGGTCCAAAACTGCGCACAATACTCCAAGTGTGGCCTGACCAGAGGCAGAGAGGGACAGCCAGTGGTGGTTTAACTTGAGGGTCAGGCAATGGGGAGAGGTTGAGAAGGGGAGTCCTATAATGGTAACCCCAGCCAGTGTGGGAATTGATGGATGATACTCTCCTATGCAAACCAGCTGTCCAGCCAATTGAACCAATAACTGTGTTGCGTGAGGGTAGGCACTTGAGCCAGAGGCCAGAAGAATGACAAAACAATACAATACAATATCCTTTCATTGTTCGTGTAGGAGTACAGTAAAAAACCTTTACAATGTCTGCCTTCAAATGGCGACATCTTAGGTACAAGTACCTAGAATCAATTCTTGGATACAGCAGAGCAATAGAAGTAGTAGCTTAGTTACAGAATTTGAAGATAAGTTTAAGAAAAGGAAAATATGAATGGGTTAACATTACAGTGTTCTAAGGTAAAGATCGATCCCCTCACATCAATCTCCGTCCGGGACTCCCCACCTGTGCGCTCCTCCGGGGTTTCCTCCCCACGCTGCTTCAGGGCTCGCAGCCCATGCTCTGCTCCGGGACTCGCAGCCCACGCTCTGCCCCGGGACTCGCAGCCCATGCTCTGCCCCGGGACTCGCAGCCCACGCGCTGCCCCGGGACTCGCAG